CGATAAACCTAGGGACGTCGTATTTCGGCGCGCGTATTAGCGCGGTGGGCCGCGCCGAAAGTGATATCGCGCCACGCGTGTGTCGTTAATGCGGGCCAAATATTGATGATTTTCGCATTTCGATCTATCCCGTCGCGCGCACTTTAAAAAGGGCTGCGCGCGGGACGGGAATTCGCGCGACTGTTGCGCCCGACCGAAATTGGCATCCCGCCATCGGCGTCGATCGACGGCAACGCGTCCACTTTACCCTCCCAACGAGTCCGTTAATAAAATACGAAACAGTAAACACGTCACTATTATCTCGCCTGTATCTCCTCATGTCTGACAATTATCGCGGTAGTTTCGGAATCACGGAGGCAGGTAGGGATGCGTGCCGCGCGCGTTTAGACGATCGAATTCACGGCCCGCGACGCGAGCAATTCTATTTAAACGCTACGTAAGAGAGCTGCTGAAATTTATATTAATCCGCTCAAAAAGACGCTGTAATTGCGATAACTACGTGCAAACCAATTTTAATTTGGAACTTATCGTTAATGCTGTTACAGCAATTTTATGATAATATCGCTGCATTTAATCAAACTCGTTATTATTATATTGTTATTACCGTCGGATTGACATGGCCGAGTTTACTTTACTCGAATTTATTTACCGAGTTGTTTAATTAAATTTTCACGTTGCGCCTGCAACGATTAAATCACGTGCTAATGGTTAATTGGCTGCGGACGGGCCAAGTTTACCCGCGCCGCACGTCTCGGAGTCTTCGGAATATGTTTTCGTAGAAATATTTTGTGCCGGCTCCCTCTTTCTCTCTTTTAGTGGTTCTTAATTACTTTCCCTCTTTCCGCCACGGTCTCTGAAAATTGTCGTTTGACCAGAGTTTGGAAAATTCGAGTTATAACAAGTTCAAAAATCGCTCAATTAGATTCGCGAGCGGTACGGAATCGTGCCCACTTTTAGATCCGCCAGCACGATTCTGTTCAAAGTGCTAAGAACTTTCAAAGGAGCCAAAGGACACCGAGACCCAATGGAACAAACGAGGAAGGAGGGCCGGGGAGAGGGAGAGGAAAGTACCGCGGTGAAACTGGAATAAGGATCGTGACTGGAGGACGCGCATCCCGCGAGTCGATTATTCAATGAGTCGGAAAATGAAAGCGAGCATCTTTTTTCGGAGTAATTATCGATAATACGCAAATCGGATCGTTAAACATTGTCCCGTCCGAGTCTACGTTTAAACGGTAATTACCAAATAGGACGGAGTTCTCGAGTAATCTTGATAAAAAAAAGAAGAAAAAGTTAGAAACGCGGTAGAGAGCAAAGGTTCCTCTGAAAAGTCTGCTGGATGTTCCCGAGTTAGCAACCCTCCTCTCAAACGCGTATAAATAAATGATCGTACGGAGTGCAGCTTTCCAAGTGAAATAGTTGATACCAGCCCTCCCTCTGCCTTCTTTTCTCCCCCGCAGCCCTGAGTTTTTCTCGTTGGTTTTACGACGAATAATAACGAGTTACAGCGCGCAGATCGAGTTTAACCTTAAAACTCTATCAGTTTTAAAGTTAAAAGGAAGAGATATGACGGGGAGTGTAATATACCTTGATGCGCGCCGATCTGACGTTATCGCAGAGAGGTTCACATCGAGGTTATTCACGTGGCTTATCTGTTTCAACCATGTGGACACGAAGGGAAATTAGCTTTCCGCTATACATACACGCGACGAAATATAAATGATAACGAGAATAATCCAGCAGCAAGTTGCCAATTTTCATAATTAACACAATCGTGTAAACTTTAAATTGTTGATATTCTCAGCTGACAATTGATAGCAAGATTGACAGATCGACTTTGACGCTGCATTGAAAATTTTCATACCATTGTACACTTGGTTTCCACACGATTTGAACGCTCTCCTTTTTTCGATGCATTTCAGAATATAGAACGATGATCCAATGAAAGAACTTGTTCTCGCGGAAGTCAAATTCTTTTATTAGACCGTCGACTACGTTATGAAATAGTTCATACAATACAATATAATAGTACATACAATATATACAATGAAATACAAGAGACATTCAAACCATACTGAAACCGAGTGTATACATTGAGAGTAAAAAATGGTCGAAAAGTATTTTTAGTCCAGCCATATTTTTCGTAGTAAAATGGCACAATAACAACATGCAGAAAACATCACTCACATTATAGTAGAATTTAACTAAAAACATTTTTTTCTCTTCATCATCACTAATAGCAATTATTTCTCTGTGTAACTGTAGAACATATTAAAATAATAATTAAATAATAATAATAATTAAAATAATAATAATAATTAAAATAATATATAATTAATAATAATAATTAAAATTAAAATTAATACAATTAAAATTGTAATCCATATTAATTTTTTTTTTCAGTATGCAAATCGCTTAGCACACCTTTTATCGAATTGCAACGTTTCAAATTGTTAGAATTGAGAAAGCCACTGCCGACACATACGCGCACAGACACAATAATCGGTTATAAATATATAAAAATTCTTTATAAAAAACTGTCCCTTAAAATTTTAAATATATTCTTTCTTTCCCAAATTTCACAAAAGTCACACTCTGTACTACTGTTACTTCGATTCTTGTCATAACCGTTTATTGTACAGCAGTAGCTGCCAACAGTGGCTTTCTCAATTCCAACAACTTGAAACGTTTGCGACTTGATTCGATCAAAAATGTGCAAACAACTGCGCAACAGCGAAATTTACACATGCATAGGTGAAGCGCGAATTCCTCGGGTAACTCGCGCGCGCACGCGACACGCGCCGCGAAGATTCACGTGCAACGACAATGAATCAGTATTCTAGGGCGAAAACGAGGTCAATACGTGGCACGTACGAGGCGCGACGGAAAATTTCTAAGTGAAAAGTAATGTATTCACGCAAACATGACTTTGTCTAAACTAACTTTACCATTTGGGGAGTTTCCCCGGCCAAGTTTCCCGAAAGTACACCAGCGCGATCTTTCTCCTCGCCTGACCTCGACCGCCGTAACATTCTTTAATTCGAGCGACTGGGACAAGACGCACGTATAAAAACGACGTCGTCGTCGTCGTCGATTTAAAGTGCTACAACGTGTGTGTACGCGTACGTGTATGTCTGCGCTTAATAAATCTACTGCGACGTGTGGCGTAGTTTAATATACTGCGCAGTATACATACTATTCATGCAACTGCTGCTCGCATCATATAAATTTTAAGTCCGCGGCTCGCTCGCGCGTGCACCTTGTGTATTAACACCATGGAATTTCCATGTTTTCGTGCTTCGTCACGAATTCGACGTTCGCCAGGCGAACATTGACTTTCAGGAAGTGTCGCGCCGCGAATAGACGCGCGACACCGCATGCGTTTTTTAATCATTTCACAGAAGGTAACTATCGATTTTATCATTACGTTGTTCCACATAACTAACGGCCTCAATTACCTTTTGACCTTGCCGTATATCGGAAAATGTAAAGCGGATGTCACAGAGAGATGGAGAGAAAACAACGGACGCGTCACGGATGCAATATCACGTGTTCAAACGCACGTGCAATTAATCATTCGGAATGGTTTTTATGTGCAAAATTGCCGAAGTGCTTCTCGGAAATATTCCGGGTGAAAAACTATTATTACCTGCCGTGATTACCCTCGTCCTATCGATTAATACATACAAAACGTCGATTTTTATATCCATATCATCGTTTCACACCCTTGACATACACACACACACGCACGCACACACACACACGCGCGCGCGTGTTAAAATGGTGAAATAATAACTCGGAGATGTACAATCATCGCTCCGTCATTGATGATCAGCTCCGTGTGCACCAAGCCGTCCAATTATATCCGGAAACAACGCGAGCTGTCCAATTATTTCCGTAGAATATAAATCGAAAGAGACGATGAAACAAACATTCGCTATACAATTGTGCACGTACACCGCACTGTTTCGCGCGGAGATTTATTGTCGATTTTGCGCTTATTAAATGCGAACGTTGCTTTCCTCTCTATACCCGCGACGAAAACAATCACCGTATTATTTCTGTACATTTAGCGCAAACACACGCTGAGAAATGTACGAGGATAATCCTCATTGCGCCGAGAATTATATGCATATAAAAGTGCTATTATCGCGCCGTTGAAAGAATAAACATATTCGGACGCGTGCATAAACCTCGGCCGCGGATTTTTCACGAAAACATAATGAAAGCGGAGAGTCGCAGACGCAACGAGACGCAGCAGAACGCGGAGTTGCGAGTGACGCGTTTAGCGTTGATGAAATTTAGCGTTAAAGTAAACTTCTAAAGTACAATCAACATATTCTTTGCTGTGATCTGCTATACTTGTAAGTGATTCAATAATTATAAGTATAGCAGTGAAAGCAGCAAAATCTGGTTGAAACAATTAGTTAATATAAGCGACAGCTATTCGTATTATTGATGCAGTTTGCAATGAAACAGACAGTGTCATTGCACATAAATCGCATCGTTAATTCCATCACCACGAGGACAGAAAGTTAGATTTGGCACAGTTAAATGAAGCGTAACAAAGTTGTGTGCTACAGATTTTGTAGCGAAATCTTACTTATACTAATCAAAGTCAATGAGATGCAAAATGGAGCAGTGAAGCAGAAGTGTTTTCCGCTGAAAATCAATGTTCCCTGATTATTGGTGAAATAAATACTTCTTTTACGGATTCAATCAGAAACATTTCTGCTGATTCACTTTGAGAGAGTAAGAAACGGAAAAGCTCGGCTTCCATTACCGGCGATTGGAGTTATATTTTGCGGCGAGTTTGCGGCGGTTGCAGCGGAGGATTCGATGTCAGGGCGAGCGCGTCCTTAGCATTTCTATCGGTACGGTACTCGCCTCGCAACGCGCTCGTCCGCACACGTAAGTGATTACATTTTATTTTCATGATGAACCCTGGCGCCTTTCTCGACGCTCTTGATTGGTATCAAAATTCTGCCATAAGTACTCACTCGTGCAGACGCCCTCGTCCATTTCCCGGGTGCGGGACAGCAGATTCATGATTACGCATTGCAGGCCGACGGCGCAGCTCCCCGAGAAGCCGAAGAGGCCGCCGCAAGGCTCGCCCTCCACGCGCGCGCACACCTTGCAGCATCTGCAAACACAGAGAACACGATCAGAGACGTCTTGCGCGCATACATACGTGCGTACGCGCGGAATAAATATAGCGGCGTGGTGCACGTTTGTCGATACGCGCAAGTTCAATCGCGCGATAGGCGGCCAGAAGCCGATAAAGCAACTCGAGTAGGAAGTTATAATTATAGACCGACAACGAGAGAGAGAGAGAGAGAGAGAGAGAAAGGATGGGAGAAGGAGAGAGAATCTATCGACGTGTCTTTGTTCGTAATATTTTTGTAAGCCGGCATAGAGAAAAGGTTTTTAATTAATTCTCGTTGCTGTGCGCGTGGAATAGTATTTTGCGTGAGTTAGTTGCGGCAGAGAAGAGGAAAGTTGGCCTCACCGCGATATATAAGCGAACGGTATTATTAGCTCCTGTTGCTATTGTTGCTTGCTCGTAACATTCATTCGCGATATACGTTCGACTCTTGTGTCCGATGAATCATCGAGCCTCAATCCGTTGTTCTTTTCATCTTTTTTTTCTTTCCGTTTTTTTTTTATTCCCCTCCCTCCCCCGGCGGGAAACGAGCAGCGGTAAATTGTTGCCGGCGTATATAGTATATAAAACGATGAGATAGACGAAACGTGCGCGAGAGAGACGGTTACATGTGCGTCGCGGTGGCCAGCCGGTCCCCGTCGAATACGGCCATTTGCTCCCTCGTAAGAAATCTTGGCGGGCGACAAGAGGATACAAGCACTTCAAAGATATAAAGCGCTTCTTATAACGGCTTTATATCTCTGCTTTAGATCCTCCTTACACCCGCGAGACAAAAAGATACGATTCCGCCCGCGTCTCTTTTCGAAAGCAGGGTGGATGTTGGGGAGGGAGCGGAGGAGGGAGGTAACGATATGAGCTACCATTAGAGCTCCGGGAAGCGCCGTGAAGCCCGCTTTTCACATTTGTCAGAAGACGAAACTTTCGGGTGAGAGGACTCAGCGAAACGCTGTTGAAATATGCGTTGAACGTATAAGAGTGAAATGGATTTTGTATAAATATATGATGGACATCTCAATGTTTTACGGTCGCGCTGTTTTTAAGCCGGTCGTTGAAATGTTAGTTTTGTTATGTGCGCGGCTCACAGCCATGTTAAATTTAGCGCTATGTATTTACCGGCGACTTTCCGTGCGACTTTCATCATGCAGTATATCGGGAGAAAATCAACCGCACGGTTCAATGAGACACTTTCTTCGGCAAGATTTATAGTCGTCGGAAGGACGGGCTCCTTCCCGCCGTCGAATTATTTGAACGTTCATTCGCCGCGGCTTGAATATCGCGTTTGCACGTGATACCGTCGCGCGAGACTCACAATCCGACGTCGCAAAACCTCTCGCAGGTGCGCAGCACGACATTTGCATTTTTATCTGGAGGAAACTTGACAGAATCGAGATGTAAGGCATCGAGGAGCTCTCGTGTATTATGCAAGTGCGTATCACTTTCGCGCGCGGCACGCTCGACAGGCACGGAGAGCACACAGTCTTACGAAGTTCCGGAATTCCGCAAAAAAGGAACGGATAGAATTTCAAGGCGGCGCAGGCACGCCGCACGGAAAATAATCTCACGGAAAATTGTCAACCGCGAGCAGGAATTTTATTACGTCGTTCCGACGGCGACGAGGCGAACCTTCTTTCCCTACTGCCGCGTTCGTTGCTGTTTTCTGCGAAACAATCCACTCCTCTATGTACTCCTTTCAGTCTCGCGCATACTTATATGATGCAAGAACGCGGTTGACACGTGGAAGAAAGTGAGCAACGGAGAACTTAGAAAGTACGCCGATAAAATGCGGTTACGTACCGCCGTGGCAACGTAATCGACGACACTATAATTTTATGAATCGTAAGCAATTACGTATTCACGATATTGAATTTTAGAGGTATAGGTATCCTATAAAAGATACATGTAGAATTTAAGGGTAAAAAAACATACAAATTACGTTACAAACGTGCACGGTAAAAAACGTTCCATTGATGCAACTGAATGTTTCGTTGCTTGGTAGAGACCAGATAAAAAAACTCGGTTATAGAAACAGAAATATTCTTGTAAGAGGTTCCTACTCGATTAATTGTTTCCAGTTATTGCAACCAATTTTTTTACATAGCTAAATGTTCAGAGAAATGTTTTCGCGGCAAGGAAAAATAATAATGCCCAGACATGTTCTCGGATATGTTCCTGGACATTCTTATACAAAATGTTCTTTGCCGTGAAAATATTGTCAGTCATCGAATAAATATTCTTTTGGTTTCTTAGATATTTTTTCTCTCAGTGTGCGTGTTCAGGCACTTTCACGTTAACAGAGATATCATTTCTCGTCGCCGAATGTTCTTCTATCCAATTACACGAGCTGAGATTTTTTTCCTGTGTGGATGCTTATATGCGAATTTTTCATTTCTCTTGATCTTTAACTCGCTGTAATCGTTGAAGAGGATAACCTCATCCAAAGAGGCACTGCAAATTTATCCTATATTCCTTGTCACGATTAATGTCGTCGTATACGTGTTTATGATGATAGATCGGGGCACGACTCGTTGGAAGAAGAATAATGAAGCGCACAGCCGCGCGCTATTTATGCGCCTGCCTCTGCGTGTGGCAAGGAAGGAGCAATTTGTTCCTACTGGCGATTCCTAATTCGCATACCGACCGCCAGGATCCGACAATGGCGTTGCATGCTAAACATTTCCCGATAAATTCCCGATACGCCATCGGGCGTATAGTTTTACTCCGTGGTCCCCGACGTATTTTCTTTTGTACATGCACGCCGTATGTCATTATATCGTGGAAGGACGCGCGCGGCCGTACGCTACCAATTTCCGGCGAGCACGGTCCTCGCGAATACAATCCGCATTGCCGCGGTAGAAAAAGGAACAGTTCACAATGGCTCGCACAAAACAGTGCGCGGGCCTGCGAAATATCGCGAAATACGCCGCGAATCGGCCGATACGACACAAGCCCGATCGATTTTTTCGCCGGCCATTGAAAAGACGAATACGTCTGCCGAACGTGAGTTAAAAAAAAAACCCAATCGCCACGCCCGACGAAAAGGGCACGCGCGCTGCAGTTTAACCGAGCGCAGCGAGAAATAATTTTCCGTGTTCTCGCTCACAATAACCGCGGGCGACAATGCAGGGCGTTCTCCTTTCAAAATGTCGCCAAGTGCATCAAGGATTACTCGATTTACTTAGGATCGAGCGCGCGATGAATTTTCTCTCACAGGAGGCGACGCGCAGAGCGAGCATTTTCACCAGCGATTCGCTGAAATCGTAATGCCACCTTATTCTCAGTGCACGGGGATGATAAAATTACATTCGATGAGATTCACGCGCGATTGAGAGACAACGGGTTGTCTGATTCAGATTCAGACAGCCTGAAAGCAGTGCTTAACGTTACGGGATTCTTTACAATACTCCGTTAATAATGGATTAGAAATCAGAGGAGCGAGTTATAAACGAATCACTAGTGCTATCATAAGACGATAAGCAACTCAGTAATCAAATAAGTAAAAAAATTTTCAAAAAAAATTAACCACTAGCCAGAAACTTCGGCCAGTCTTTACTAACTAGGATTCATTAGTAACCGAACAGGAAAATATTGGCTAGTATCTTTTGGTTAGTCACTGGCTAGTAAGTTTATCAGAAAATTAGGACAGTTTACCAGAAACTAGACAATAAAAAAGTAGTAAGTAAGTAAATGCTGACAAATTTTTCTGTCTAGTAAAAGCTCGGAAAATATTAACTACAGAATGTAAGCAGGAAAAAATGATAATTAAAAATTAATAATAAATCTAAAATCATTTCAATAATAAATTTACACACGAAAGGACTCTATGTTTTGAAATGCGAGTTTATTTCTATATTGAATTACTTTATTATTAAATTATTTTATATAGAATTATTGAATTACTTTATATCGAATTATTATTTTTATATAAAATAATAAAATATAATATTTTACAGTATACAAATAAAGAATAAAACGATGAGAAAAAAACCATTTAGCACAATTCTATATTAAAAAATGTTGGTTAGAAACTAGCTAGAAACTAGCCAGAGACTAGAGTTACCGTTCAGTTACTGGCAAAGCAAGCGTCGCCCAAATTGGCCGGGAATTAGTAACCAAGATTTCCAGACAATTATTGGCTAGAGAAAGATCGCTCTTTCCACTTGGACATATAAGGATAGTCACATTCTATTTCTTACAGCTTAAAAATTGATCGCTTTATGATTGACCAATCAAAGGGCAATAAGTGCTCGTCATCTTTATCGAGACGAACTGACCAGAACTGACTGAATACTGTCTTCCTTCTAAATGGCTGTAATATCGTAACGCAACGATCTACTACGACTTGTTATGGATACAAGTTTCTTTAGATTAATGACTTGTAATTCCGACTTACCAACAGTGTGATATGAGTGATGACTAACGGTTTATCGTAGAAAGTTCATGAGACTTTGCGAGGAGCAGGAGAGCGTTTCATTGAAACGCGTTATGTACAGATAGCTGCCGTCTGCGCGCAAACGAATGTACGGCAGTCGCGTCCGTAGACTCACACGGGGATATCTCTCTGTCTGTCTCTCATGTCGCGGTATCGATATCGCGAGCCTCGTATGAAACGGAATAATGAAGCGGAATGCAGGCTGCACGCGGACCCACGTAAAAAGGTAACGTGCACGTAATATCGGCGTTGCGGTCGCTTTAATGACGGCAACAATTTACCGACACGTCGCCGATATGATCCGCGGTATTACCAGCTGCCCGATCGACTCGTCTCGTCTCGTCGGCGCTCGAAAAATTTGCATAAGATGACACTCTCTCGCCGTACACGACGTTCGACGCGTATAACTTCCTCCTCTTCCTTCTCCGCCTTATCCTCGTCCTCGTCGTCGTTGTCGTCGAGTCACCTCCGTGTATCGTCATCGAAATTACCCGACTATCATTCGGTGTCGCATCGAACCGTTTTGACGGCAATGGCCACCAGTTTTCCC